ATAGAAAATGTGTGATCTGCTTATGTGCTTACTTCCAAGAAGACAGCTCTCATATAAATGCTTCATTTTATGTATATTTATTAAAAATGCAAACCAGTTAGTTATAAATCATATCTTAGTAACACTTTCAATCATCTTTTAATTTCATTCTGTACACAGTGCACGTGATAGTTGAACACGAATAAACAATGTAACAGAATCTTTTAAAAGTTTTAAAGCTAATTCCTTTGCTACATATATTTCTAAAAAGCCATTTTATTAATTCATCTTCACAGACTATTTGAGACAATTATTCTAAAATCACTTTTGCTATAGAGGGCATTGTTTTTAAGGCATGTTTTAGAGTTATTATTTGCCCATATTAAGTCTGGTTGTAAGTGGTATAAAACCCAATATAAGTGGCCTTAGTCTGTTTCTTTCCAAGGTTGCCCTATGACCAAAATGGCTTCTAGTCAGGTCCATGTGCCAGTAACCAGAGCCAAACGTTCTTACAAAGAAAATTCTAAGCCTAAGGCGTTGACTTACTGACCTCTGTGCTCTGCCATTCTCTCATCTCTCATGTTAATAGTGTTCCCTTGGAGAACATCTAAAGCAAAAGGCTTGGATCAGAAGGTGACACCTGCAGTGCAATTTCTGTCGATGTTCGAATGGCAGTGCCCAGCCTTACCTCCTGCTAAGACTGACATTCAAAGCTGCTGTTCCCGGTGGTCTCAGGCACACAGAAGCAATTGGCCTTCTCAATCAACAATTCCATATTAGAGGGCTCTCAAGTCAACTTAGACTGCAGCCTGTCTGGTTCTGGGGCTGCCAGCTGGAGCAAGAGCTTCCTAGTTGCACAGATTTCTTTCTAATTGTGGCAAGATCAACAGTTCTATTTGGCAGCCCAGGTTTTTTGTATGACTTTGGAAGACATCCCTGGAAGAGGAGCCTAGAGTCCGTTTCTTCATCTCTCTAAATGATTCTGTAATGATTTCTGTTTAAACTGGCTAGAGAGAATTATGTTCATTGTATCTAAACCATGACCTACTCAGAAGTATTTGTTTTGTTAAAAAAAATGTTATGAGAGGCCTCAATATGCAACATAGATAAAAGCAGTGTGGCTCTGTTTGTGGTATGTGGAGGGGGTGGGAGCAGTGAAGTGAAGGGGAAGATCCGGGAGCCCAACTCCCATGTTCCCTAATTTTTCATTCCACCATCCAGGATGGTCCCTGAGGCACCTCTGAGGAACTGAACCCCAAGACTCCCAAGCCACTATTTGAAAGTCAGTTAACACATTCACTATTAATTATTAAACACACACATCAAATTGTAGCAATCATGTAAACAAGGTATGGTGTTCTCTAGGTGTGTCTGTGCACCCACGAGTTATATGCCAGAAGGAGATAAAACTTTTCAAAAGCCTCACACAGAAATACAGGTGTTGGTCTGAAGCTTCCAGCCTAGACTGAGATGACTATCAGCATGGCGTGCAGGTCGGGCTGGATGGGCCCTGTGTCTTGCCCATGCCACACATGCATGCAATTCCTGTTAGATCTGTGGCTTGAATGCTCTTTGGAGATCCTTGCATTGTTTAAGGTCCCACTGCTCCAAGCAGCTTCTGCTCAGACCGATGGCTTCTGCTAACCCCTGGTCCCCTCTCTCACAGCTGGACTTCAGACCAAGGTGACAGGTTAATTCCTCTGTGTATTTACAGCTATGATTTGACTTGGTTTGGGGCATTGATTTTGCTAATGTCCTCGCTTTGGACAACTGCCTCCTTTCTACGCCTCGCTGAGAGCCCCAGCAAGCCCAACTGGCCCCTCATTCGCATCAGCACAGGTGGGGCTCCTAGCAGATGCCGCGGGTTCTAACTCCCTGTATCTCAGCAGAGGCCGCAGTGGGTGGGCGTGCTCCATCAAGTGTGCACTTTCACCCTGCACTGAACTTGAATGCCTATTTTTTCTTAATGTCTTATAAGGAATCCTGAACATCCCTCTCCATCTCTTTTTCTCCTCGGAGCCATCCTAGGCAGCCTGCTTCCTCTCTGCAGGCCCCTGCCCTAGGCCCTCTTAGTCTAAATTGTGAGCCCCAGAAAAGTTTCTGTAACCTACAAGATGCTCATCTCCAAGAGGAGGCCATGTGCCATTCTGTGCCAACTTGGCCAGACAGCTTATGTATGACTGTGGTCAAGTCCCTCGACTTACCATGTCTCAAGTTCCTGGGTTTGGAATATGCGGGGCCTAAGGTTTCTCTCTGCTTTGAGAGGATATAGCTCTAATGAGTACATGCTTCTAGGACATGACAGGCATGTAGGAGGCATTTCTTCACATGCCCTAGAGAGGTGATTGTTCTGATTCTCTAAAATAGACTTCACAGTTTAAGGGCATCTGAACCATGGAAAAGAAAGATGTTTTCTACCTGAAAAGTTATTTGTTTGTCCCAGTTGGGGATGTTTACACCAGAATTTTGAAATATGCCCATTAACTAACTGATATGTGAAGACTTACCATGTATAAGTCCCTGTGTTTAGTATTGAGTGGCTTCTGAGAAACAGAAGGGAATTATTTTGCTCCTGGATGAAAAGTGTGAAACAGAAGGTAGGTGCAAGGCAATTTGACATTTAAAAAGAGAGAGGTGGTGAGAGATACAAGATGGCTGATTACTAGCAGCCCAGGATTGTAGCTCCCAGTGAAAGCGCAGAGAACGAGAGGACCCCACACTTTCAGACGAATTTTTGTTGCTCACGGACCAGGAGATTCCCTGCAGAGGAGCCCCACGGGTCGCCAGCGCAACTCTTGTGGCGGTTTTGCTGGCATCCTGGCGCAGTGGTTCTTGGTGCAGAGTAAACAGGACTGGGTCCCCTTTTGGTCGACGTTTGAAGCTCCAGCAAGGCAGAGTCGCCTATTCAGCTGATTGAAAAGGGGACTCAAGAAGGAAGCCAGACCGGAGATTCCCCGGCAGAAAAGCACCACGAATCGTAACGCCGCTGTTTTGGCCAGTGCAATGGGTTGCTCAGATTCCGGTGCTGGGAATCAACAAGCTGGACGTCCACTCAGAGACCTAATTTGAAAGTCGGTGATTACACAGATGACAGGTGGATAAATTTACAATGATGGGAAGAAACCAGCATAAAAAGGCTGAGAAAACCCAAAATCAGAATGCCTCTCCCTCCACAGGGGATCACAGTTCCTCATCAACAAGGGAACAAGGCCTGATGGAGAACGAGTGCATTCCATTAACAGATTTAGGCTTCAGAAGGTGGATAATAAGAAACTTCTGTGAGTTAAAAGAACATGTTCTAGCCCAATGTAAAGAAACTAAGAACCTTGAAAAAAGGTTTGATGAAATCCTAATGAGAATAGACAATCTAGAGAGGAATATAAGTGAATTAATGGAACTGAAGCATACAATACGAGAACTCCGCGAAGTATGCACAGGTTTTAACAGTCGAATTGATCAAACAGAAGAAAGGATAT